GTGCCCCTCACTCCCGACCCGCGGCCCTGCTAGCCCTGCTATACTAACTAAAAATAAAGTTACTTTGTTTTCTATGATTAGTGTTGTGTGCAGGGGGAGGGACCCACGCAGGAAACCGCTTGACCCACGAAGGCTCAGGCTCAGTCTGGCACTGACCTGTGTACGCTCAAGAGAGATCTTGGAGTCACTGTGGATAGTTCTCTGAAAACATCCGCTCAATGTGCAGCAGCGTCAAAAAAGCGAACAGAACGTTGGGAATCATTAGGCAAGGGATAGATAATAAGGCAGAAAATATCCTATTGCCTCTATATAAATCCATGGGCCGCCCACACCTTGAATACTGTGTGCAGATGTGGTCGCCCCATCTCAAACAAGATATATTGGAATTGGAAAAGGTTCAGAAAAGGTCAACAAAAATTATTAGTCGTCTGGAACGGCTTCCGCATGAGGAGAGATGAATAAAACTGGGACTTTTCAGCTTGGAAAAGAGACGACTAAGGGGGGATATGATTGAGGTCTATAAAATCATGACGGGTGTGGAGAAAGTAAATAAGGAAGTGTTATTTCCTCCTTCTCATAACACAAGAACGAGGGGTCACCAAATGAAATGAATAGGCAGCAGGTTGAAAACAAACAAAAGGAAGTATCTCTTCACACAACGCACAGTCAACCTGTGGAACTCCTCACCAGAGGATGTCGCGAAGGCCAAAACTATAACAGGGGTCAAAAAAGAACTAGAGTAGTTCATGGACAATGGGTCCATCAATGGCTATTTGCCAGGAAGGGCAGGGATGGTGTCCCTCGCCTCTATCTGCCAGACGCTTGGAATGGGCGACAGGGGATGGATCACTCGATGGTTCCCTGTTCTGTTCACTCCCTCTGGGGCACCTGGCATTGGCCACTGGACCTTTGATCTGACCCAATATGGCCGAACTTATGTTCTTATGGCAGTCATGGGCAGTTATTGCTTTAATGATGCCGGGGTAGTTTCAGGTCAGAAGATCCACTTGATCGTCCCCTCTGACCGCCCGGGATTTCCTCCCCACGTAACCACGGTGCCCACTGGAGATACTCCGGGGACGGAGCCCTGGGATCCTTTCTGTGGCTTCTTCTCCGCCCCCCTCACCACTTTTTTCCACTGGGCCCAGCGCTGCTCTCAGCTGTGAAGTGGATTCATAGATTCATTGGTAGGGTTTGGCCAAAGCATCTTCCGGGAAATGTTTGATTTGAAGCCACCAAGAGACGGCAAAGACCAAGTCACGGCCCAGAGACTTATCGCCCAGCTCCTGAGCTTTGGAGCGTCAACGAAGAAACTCGCCGTTCCGTTTGGAACAAAAAGCAACGAGGCCTTTTCTGTATCTCTGTGAGTTAATTTAATCTTTTTTACATTTACAAAATAAGATTTTTTTTCCTTTGTCGCCTTACAGTACAGTATAATCCAGGAGGACCCAGACTTCCGCTTGTTTCGTTCAGTGTGTTGGCGAGATGCTGGGATAGGAGGGGGGATTTTCTACAAGGGGAGGGGAAAAGGGACAAGATTCCTCAAAAGGAAATGAACAGAAGTCCCGATCGCACAGTGATTATGGAATTCAGCACCATGAAAAGAGGCAAAAGACTAGAACAAAAAACCCCGTCTCACGATGCCGGGGACGGGCCGAGCTTAACATTAAAAACCAAAAAAAACCAAACGAAAAAATTCCGGCGAGAAACAGACAAATACACACGATTAAAAAAAAAAAAAGGACATTTAAAAAAACAACCCTCGAATGTTCAAATCAACCCCTCAATAGCAACCAATAAATAGAGAAATCATTACAAAAATGATGTATAAATAAAAAAAAATACACAACAACAGAGGACAATTTACAAATTGCAAAAATCTGAGGCCTGGAGGTAAAAAAAAACAAAAAAGAAGAAGCACCCGACGTGTTTCTGGTTTCAAAACAAGTGAGAAGTGGAGAGGCGAAACCTGGCCGGCGGGGGGAGTTAAGGCAGATTTCTGTCCTGCCGTCCTGGCTGTTTCTGTGGATGACCTGAGAGAAGTGTAAATCACGGCTGCGATTGTACGAAACGCTTAACCCAGGGGAAGGCAGCTCCCGGGCGCAGGGTTCCCGCGAAGTCCTGCACACGGGGCTGGAATCCGAGCACAGTTCCTTGCTCCCCCTTTGCACCATCGTTCGCACAATCGGAGACCCAAGCCGGCGGGAATTGGCTCCTTCACATGAGTTCAGAAGAGAAAAAAAAAGCAAGCCAGGAACACATCGAATAAAAAGACTCCCAAACCAAGCGGCCAGGATATCAGAAAGCAAAGAAGAGTGAGTATCAAACCACGCACGCCCACACAAACCGCCCGCCCCGCGCCGATATATATATAAACCAATGTACAATCTCCCACGGCCACAAACGCACAAAGAGGAAACAAAGGGAAATTCCTGCGTAAAAAACCCGTATTTTTTTTGTTGGTGGTTGGTTGTGTTTTTTTGTTGGTTGTTTTTTTTTTTTTCTTATTTTTCTTTTTTAAAAAATAAAAAAAACAACAAAAAAAAAAAAAAACAACCCAACCCCCTTTCCCCGCTGCTGCCAGTTTCTCGGCCCCCCACCCCGCCACCCGCCCCGCTTCTGCAAAACGAATGAGTTAATGCTCCAAGAGATTCTGGCTGAGCTCCAGTCCGTGTTCTCCTGCGTGCAGCCAATCTCCTGTCCCCGGTTGAAGGCCGGCGTGTGTCTGTCAGGGAACCGCCCGGAGGGCTCCGCCGGCCCCTCCGAGCTGCCCAGGATCCACGTTTGTCCTTTTCCCGTCTCGTGGGTGGGATTTTCTCTTCTTTTTTTTGTGGTTTTTATTATTTTCCAAAAAAAAAAATATTTTTTTTAAAAAGTTTCCCCGTCTCCCCCAAAGGTCATTTTCAAGAATAAATTAAAAAGTTCATTTGTTTGAGTTTCTGTATTCACAGGCTGCTTGCGGATTGGCTCCTCGGATCACGCAGAAGATTGGCTGCTTCTGGGGCTCCGCCCCCTCCCCCTCGTTTCAACAGCAAAGCTGATTGGGCCGGAGCGGTTCCGGTGTAAACAAGAGCTTGTCTGCGATTGGCCACTGGGACGGGCGGTGCCGAGATGTCCCCTCCTTTCCCCAGCGGGGCAGGGGGGCACCGGGGAAGGGGGAGCTGATTCCTGTCTCTGCCCAGGAAGTACCTGGGCGAGGTCTGGCTCATCTGGAGCTGGGGGATCCAGCCTGCAGGTGGGAAGGAAAGAAAGGGTTAATGGGACCCAGGAGTCCTGTGGGTGGGAGCAGGGCACTCCCTCCCCCCAATACCTATCTATCTATCTCAGGGGTAGGCAACCTATGGCACGCGTGCCGAAGGCAGCACGCGAGCTGATTTTCAGTGGCACTCACACTGCCTGGGTCCTGGCCACCAGTCCGGGGGGCTCTGCATTTTAATTTAATTTTAAATGAAGCTTCTTAAACATTTTAAAAACCTCATTTACTTTACATACAACAATAGTTTAGTTATATATTATAGACTTAAAGCAAGAGACCTTCTAAAAACGTTAAAATGTATTACTGGCCCGCGAAACCTTCAATTAGAGTGGATAAATGAAGACTCGGCACACTGCTTCTGAAAGGTTGCCGATCCCTGATCTATCTCATAGAACTGGAAGGGCCCTCAAAAGGTCATCGAGTCCAGCCCCCTGCCTTCACTAGCAGGACCAAGTACTGATTTTTGCCCCAGATCCCTAAGTGGCCCCCTTGAGGATTGAACTCACAACCCTGGGTTTAGCAGGCCAATTCTCAAACCACTGAGCTATCCCTTCCCCACCCCACCTTTACGTTTACTCCTGGGGGAATTCTGCACCACTGCGCATGCGCAGAATTCATCTGCCACGCAGAATTCCCCTCCGCCCCCACGCAGAAAAAACATTCTGCCGGAAAGGTGCTGCAGTCAGCCCTTTTGCCCACCAGGGGCTGCTGTGGCACAAGAACAGAGAGCAGCTGCTCCCAGGAGGGAGCAGGTCCAGCTGCCGATAGGGAAGAGAAAGAGGCTGCCTTCTTCACAGCGCCCTGCTTCTGGGCCAGGTCAGGAGACAGGTGATATGGGGGGACGGACAACATGGGGCACATGGGGCTGCTGGGGTCACAGATGGGGCTTCAGAAGGGCTAGTGGGGTGGGACAGACTGGGGCAGGAGCTGAATGGGAGTGAGAGTGTGGGGACACATGGGCACGGGGGGAGGCAGGGGGAAGGACACATAGGGATGGGGGAGGGGGTGCAGGGCCACATGGGACGAGGAGGATGGCTAAGTGGGGGCACAGGGACACACAGGGATGGGGGAAGGAGTGGCTGAGTGGGGGTGCAAGGACACAAGGAGACAGGGAAGGGGGTGCAGAGCCACATGGGAGGAAGGGGATGGCTAAGTGGGGGCAGAGGGACACATGGAGACGGGTAAGGGGGTGCATGGTCACATGGGGATGGGGGAGGGAGTGGCTGAGTGGGGGTGCAAGGACACATGGAGAGGGGGAAGGGGGTGCAGGGTCACATGGGGATGGGGGTGGGATGCAGGGACACATCAAAAACACAGCGCCTGATTCATTCAGACGTACTTGCTGACAGGTATTTTGAAATAAAGGTCCAAAATAATTGAAACCAGCGAGATAAGATTCTGTGATTTTTCACAATTAAAATATTAAGTTTAAAATATTGACCACGGAATTTTTAATTTTTTGGTGCAGAATTCCCCCCAGGAGCATACGTTCCAGTGAGTCACCAGGGAAAAAGGGACCCCAACTGGGAAAATGTGCACCCTGCAGCCCAGTGCCCCCTAGCGCCACCCTGGGGCCAGCCCTGCCTGCCAGGGGAGAGCGCCCCCTGCTGAGCCCCTGCCCCTCTCCCTGCCTCACAGTGCCCCCTAGCGCCTCCCCCGCTCCCTGCCCCACAGCGCCCCCTGCCCCTCACCAGGGTGAAGCTGTCGTAGATCTGCATCAGCTCCTCCGTCTTGTACTGCTCCAGCACCACCACGCCATGCAGGGCGGTGCTGCGCTGGCGGGCGCAGTCCTCGCAGTGCACCAGGTACGTGTTCTTGCTGCCATTCTCGCTCGTCACAAACAGGATATTGAACACCTCCACCTGCAGGGGCGGGACATACGGGCGTGAGCTCCCCCTGCTGGCTGCTGGCTGCACCGCGCATGTCGGAGAGGAGGGTGGCGTGGCACCAGGCCACCGCCCTAATGGAAACTGGGGGCAGGGTAGAGCAAGAAATGGAACCCAGGCGTCCTGGCTCCCAGGTCCCTGCTCTAACCCACCAGTCCCCACTTCGCTCCCAGAGCCAGGGAGAGAACCCAGGAGTCCGGGCTCCCAGCCCCCCCTGCTCTGACCCACCATCCCCCACTCCCCTCCCAGAGCCAGGGAGAGAACCCAGGAGTCCTGGCTCCCAACCCCCCCTGCTCTAACCCACCAGCCCCCACTCCTCTCCCAGAGCCGGGGAAAGAACCCAGGTGTCCTGGCTCCTGGCTCCCAGCCCCCCACATCCTTTGCTGTGTTAATGAACGTACTAGAGCCAGTCCACAAACCCCGCTCCCTCCAGTGCGCAGTCCCCCACCTCCCCAACCCCATCAGAGGCCGTGGGGCTCAGGCTGGGTGGCCTGGATCATGGCGGTGATTGGGGCACCAACAAGAGAAGCAGCCGGCGCAGTGTCGGGGGAGAGAGCTTTATTTGTACGCTTTCCAAAGGTGCGTTCATAGCCACCGCGGTTACGGGTACAGGCCCTCCCTGAGCCAGGAGCGGAACCCAGGAGTCCTGGTTCCCAGCCCCCCCTGCTCTAACCACCAGCCCCCACTCCCTTCCCAGAGCCGGGGAGAGAACCCAGGAGTCCTGGCTCCCGCCCTGGTGCTTTAACAGGCACATGAGACACTGCGGTCACACAGCGATGGTGCCAGATGCTTTGCACACTAGTCCGTGCTCTGCGGGTGTCAGGTCTCTGGAGCCAGGGGCTCTCCCTCGATGCCAAGCCCCACGGAGGGTCCCCGGGGATCCCCGGCAGGGCGAGCCACGTCACATAAGCTGGGCTGCGTTTAAGAGCCGGCCGGCCACTTCTTCCCCCGAGACTGGCTCTGCGGCCGGCCCTGACTGCTGACGGCCGTCTCCGATCCCATCTGGGGCTCCGGCATCCCCCTCTCTGGACACCAAGCGCCCGGTCCTCCTCCTCTTCTCTCAGTTCATCCCTCTTCACCCGTCGCCGATTCATCTGCACCACGTTTAGCCCAGTTGCTCATCCGTCTTCTCCCGGTGTGGCCGCGCGGCTAACCCAGTTCTGCCGTGCGTAGCCAAACCACTCACCTGTCTGCATGGCGGGAAGCCACACGGCTAATCCATTCCTGCCGTGGTTAGCCAAGTCACGAATCCTCCTGTGTGGCTTTGCCCTGAGTGGCTAATCCACCGGCACCCCAATTACCCGAGTCGCTAAACCGTTTACGCTGTGTCTGACCGGGTTGCTCATCGGTCTGCACAGCATTTCACCGCGTCGCTAACTCTCTGTGTCCCGTTCTGTGGAGTCACTAATCCATTTAAACTTTGCTCAGCTGGTCACCAATCAATTTATGCCACGCTGACCAGATTCACCACATGTAGCCACTTGGCTAATCCGTGCTCATCCCGTTTAGCCAAAGGACGAATCCGTTTTCGGCCTGTTTAATTGCTAATCCACCTACGTTAATTAACCAAGTCATTAGCCGCTCTGCCCCCCATTCTGACGAGTCGCTGATCCGTCTGCATCCTGTTTGTGCCGTTCGGCTAAATTCTTTATCCATTTACTCTATATTTAGCATGATGGCTAATTCTTTCACACCACATCTAGCCAAATCTCGACTCCATTTTCTTCCCCTTACGACGAGTCAGTAATCCATTTCCTTCCCATGTAGACAGACTCCTCGCTGATCTGTTTCCACCAATTTTAGCCAAGTCGCTAATCCGGTTTTGCCCCGTTTCATCGAGTCCCTCTCGCCATGTTCCTCTTCTGCATTTCGCTGAGTTGTTCGCCCGTTTGCACCACGTTTTGTTGTTGCTCCATTTTTCCCCCATCCGCCCGAGCCGTTCCGCCATCTTCACCCATGATTACGATCCGTCTCTTCCTTTTTCAAAGGCAACGGGTTTGCGGCCACGTGCCCGGGGTATCCAAAAATCGCGAGCTGCCCTTTTCTCTCTCTCTTTTAAACAAACCGCGTTTCATACTCACTGTTTCTGGCTTTTAGCCCATTACGGACCCGTCTCTTAGTGCGGACGAGGTTGACGCCGCAACGAAATCCCAAACTGGATGTGGGACAGGAGGCATTTTACAGAGTAAACAAATCTCATGCACAGAGCTCAAACTGGGATGTTGTATTCCCTGCTGCCCACAAAGGTGTCTTTCCTTAACCGTGGATTTTATTAACCATAAACCCTGTCACAGCGGAATCCGAGCGGGGTCTCTGCTGCAGCCACCTCCGAGAGGAGGCGCAGCCAGACGGCAACTCTGCCCAACAGTTCAGGGACAGCAGATCCCATCTCCGACTGAAGCGGCAGGTTGAAGATTTGGAAGCAGAAGGGTGCGGGTCGGGCCGGGTCGCCAGCCCTCGAGGCCGAGGGGTGTGGCTGTCTCGGCCGAAGGACGGGAAATCTGGCAACACAGCGACCTCTAGTGCCCTGCGGGTGCTAGAGGAGCTGGCCAGTAGCTAGCGGCTGCAGGGGGACCCCCCCTCGCAGCCCCGGCACTCACGTCACACTCGTTGCAATAGTACGCCGGCTCGTCCTTCACCCGGCCCTGGTAGGCGATCTTCTTCCCCGAACGCACCAGGGTCTCCCGCAGCACCTGGCAGTGCTTGATGGACTGCATGAGGCAATACCTGGCAGGGAGAGAAGACGGGGAGCGAGTGAGTGGGACGGAGAGGGAGCGAGACGCGGGCAAGCGCTCAGAGGGGGGAGCTGCCCTAAGTGTCACCGACGCTGCCTGAGTCTGCCAAGAGCCTGACCCTATTTCTCTGAGGGGGGGAGCTGCCCCATGCATCTCAATGGGGTGGTAACTCCCACTCCAATTTCTAGGGGAACCCCACCAAGCCCACCAGCCGGGCTCACAGGGCAGGAGGTAGGGCAGGGTGGGGAGGAGTCACAGGGGCGCCGCTCACTTGATCATCTTGTAGAGGTCAGGGTCGCTGATCTTGACCGTCCGGGCGACGTTCCACGAGACGTGGATCATGGGCACGATGGATTTCACGTTCTTCACCTCGTTCCACTCGTAGCGCTCCAGGGCCAGCTGGTATTGATAGGCTGCGGGAGGGGGAGAGGGTGAGGCAGCGTCCGGCAAAATCCCACCCCAGACACAGCCGCAGCCCTGGGGGGGACAGGCCCCATGCCCCATTCCCCGTCCCCCCTGCAGCCAGCTAGTCCCTGCCCTGGGGCCGGACGGGAGCCGGCGCCCCCTAGAGGGGACAGGCCCCATGTCCCATTCCCCACCCCCCTGAGCCAGCCGGTCCCTGCCCTGGGGCCAGACGGGAGCCGGCGCCCCCTAGAGGGGACAGGCCCCGTGTCCCATTCCCTGCCCCCCTGAACCCACCAGTACCCTCCTGAGGCTGCAGTACACATTTCTGCCACTTGGTGGAGCCAAATACATGAGAGAAGAACATAAGAACAGCCAGACAGGGTCAGACCAAAGGTCCATGTAGCCCAGTATCCTGTCCACCAACAGCGGTCAATGCCAGGTGCCCCAGAGAGAATGAACAGAACAGGGAATCATCAAGTGACCCATCCCCCATCGCCCACTCCCAGCTTCTGGCAAACCGAGGCTAGGGACAACATCCCTGCCCATCCTGGCTAATAGCCAATGATGAACCTGTCCTCCATGAACTTCTCTAGTTCTTTTTTGAACTCTGTTATAGTCTTGGCCTTCACAACATGCTCCGGCGAGGAGTTCCCCAGGTTGACTGTGCATTGTGTGAAGAAATACGTCCTTTTGTTTGTTTTAAACCTGCTGCCTATTAATTTCAGTGGGTGACCCCTAGTTCTTGTGTTATGAGAAGTAGTAAACAACACTTCCTTATCTACTTTCTCTATGCCAGTCATGATTTTATAGCCCTCTGTCATATCCCCCCTTAGTCGTCTCTTTTCCAAGCTGAAAAGTCCCAGTCTTATTAATCTCTCCTCATACGGCAGCAGTTTCATGCCCCTAATAATTTTTGTTGCCCTTTTCTGAACCTTTTCCAATTCCAATATCGCTTTTTTGAGATGGGGCGACCACATATGCACGCAGTATTCAAGATGTCCCTGGAAAAATCATGGAGCAGGTCCTCAAGGAATCAATTCTGAAGCACTTAGAGGAGAGGAAAGTGATCAGGAACAGTCAGCATGGATTCACCAAGGGCAAGTCATGCCTGACTAACCTAATTGCCTTCTATGAGGAGATAACTGGGTCTGTGGATGAGGGGAAAGCAGTGGATGTGTTATTCCTTGACTTTAGCAAAGCTTTTGATACCGTCTCCCACAGTATTCTTGCCACCAAGTTAAAGAAGTATGGGCTGGATGAATGGTGGATAGAAATCTGGTTAGATTGTCGGGCTCAACGGGTAGTGATCAACGGCTCCATGTCTAGTTGGCAGCCGGTTTCAAGTGGAGTGCCCCAAGGGTTGGTCCTGGGGCCGTTTTTGTTCAATATCTTCATTAATGATCTGGAGGATGGCGTCGACTGCACCCTCAGCAAGTTTGCAGATGACACTAAACTGGAAAGAGTGATAGATACGCTGGAGGGTAGGGATAGGATACAGAGGGACCTAGACAAATTAGTGGATTGGGCCAAAAGAAACCTGATGAGGTTCAACAGGACAAGTGCAGAGTCCTGCACTTAGGACGGAAGAATCCCATTCACTGTTACAGACTAGGGACCGAATGGCTAGGCAGCAGTTCTGCAGAAAAGGACCTAGGGGTTACAGTGGACGAGAAGCTGGATAGGAGTCAGCAGTGTGCCCTTGTTGCCAAGAAGGTTAACGGCATTTTGGGCTGTATAAGTAGGGGCATTGTCAGCAGATCGAGGGACATGATCGTTCCCCTTTATTCGACATTGGCAAGGCCTCATCTGGAATACTGTGTCCAGTTTTGGGCCCCACACTACAAGAAGGATGTGGAAAAATTGGAAAGAGTCCAGCGGAGGGCAACAAAAATGATTAGGGGGCTGGAGCACATGACTTATGAGGAGAGGCTGAGGGAACTGGGATTGTTTAGTCTGCAGAAGAGAAGAGTGAGGGGGGATTTGATAGCTGCTTTCAACTACCTGAAGGGGCGGGGGGTTCAAAAGAGCATGGATCTAGACTGTTCTCAGTGGTGGCAGATGACAGAACAAGGAGCAATGGTCTCAAGTTGCAGTGGGGGAGGTGTAGGTTGGATATTAGGAAAAACTTTTTCACTAGGAGGGTGGCGAAGCACTGGAATGGGTTACCTAGGGAGGTGGTGGAATCTCCTTCCTTAAAAACCTCTAAGGCCCGGCTTGACAAAGCCCTGGCTGGGATGAGTTAGTTGGGATTGGTCCTGCTTTGAGCAGGGGGTTGGACTAGATACCTCCTGAGGTCTCTTCCAACCCTGATATTCTATGATTCTATGTGGACGTACCATGGATTTATATAGAGGCAATAGGATATTTTGCGCCTGTGACGAAGTGGGACTGTTCTTAATGTTTCCTCTGAATACTATGTGGGTGCCTCAGTTTCCCCTATGCATTTCTTAAGTCTCTAGGTGGTGGGGAAAGGCCAGTGTGCATAAATCACTGACACTCTGTCTCCCTGGCAACAAATGGCCAGGGCCCCTTCCCTCCCTGCAAGGAAATAGCTAAAGGTGAACAAAGAGATCAGGTGACCTCCTGGCTCAGGAAAGAGACAAAGCCAAGAGAAGGAGGGGCTGGAGGGGGTTTGGGAGTTGGAGCTACCTGGGGACTAGGAGTGAGGGCAGACGGGGGTGTCTGGCTCTCTGAACCCCATAATGGACCCGGCCGAGGGGTCCCGTTCGCTGCTGTACCTACAAGCTCTGTTTTAGACCGTGTTCCTGTCATCTAATAAACCTCTGTTTTACTGGCTGGCTGAGAGTCACCTCTGACTGCGAAATGGGGGGTGCAGAACCCTTTGGCTTCCCCAGGACCCCGCCGGGGCGGACTCGCTGTGGGAAGCGCACGGAGGGGCATATGCTGAATGCTCCCAGGAGAGACCCAAGAGGTGAAGCCGTGTGAGCTTCTTGCCCTGAAGACAGTCTGCTCCAAGGGAGAGGAGGCTCCCCAAAGTCCTGACTGGCTTTGTGGGGAGCAGTTCCAGAGCATCACCCGGGGACTCCGTGACAACTGGTGGTAGCGGTGGGATGTACTGCACCCTGTGAATGGCGCTTCTTGCAGTAAGTGACTGGGGAGCAGTAAAACAGGGGGGATACCAAGGACCAGGCGTGCTGAAGGCTCAGAGAGGGACGGTTGCAGGGGGCGATTAACCCCTAGGAGTGTGTGACCAGTGAGAAGGACTGTTGGAGTAACGGGGGTCCCCCTGAGGACTGCAGCGAGCAGTCTCAGGGGCGGAGGAGCTTGCCGCTCGACCCTGGGAGAGAGAAGGACTTTTGCTGTAACAGGGTTCCCCTGGGGATTGCAGCGAGCGGTCCCAGGGGCGGAGGAGTCTGAAGCTCGACCCTGGCAAAGAGGTGGTGACCACGAGAAGGGCTGGCACACTAGGGGTTCTTCCTGGAAACCGTGGGGGAGCTGAGAGCACACGGGCCTCTGAGTCCAAAGCAACTTGGGAACAGTGAAGTGATGGCCTATCACCATCTCCTCAAGAAGGACATTGTGATCCTGTGCAAAAAGAGGGTTACGCATTGGGAAGTTCACCGAGGCCCAGTTAATCGTGCAGCTGGAGGACGAGGACCGCTCTAAGGAGCAGATTCCTGACCCAGACGGGGCTACAAGAGGATCTGGGAGCAGCTGGAGCAGTAGCCAGGCATCCCCAAGAGTCTGGTCCCCAACCAGACGGGGGTCTTCACGATCGGGTTCCCCATCAGGGGGTCGGAGACGGTTGGGACTGGAGCTGAGTCTGAGAGAGCGAGAGGACCGTGAGAGAGAGCAAGAGCCCGAGGAAAAGCTGCAGGAGAAGCAGCAGCAGCATGGACTGGCGATGGTGGAGCGGAGAGGCATAGGGGGCTTCCCAGTGGTGAGTGGGGATAGACCCCGGGCTGCCAGTTCTGCAGGGAACCTCGACACTAAATTGCTGCCCCTGGTTAATGAGGGGGGGGATGTGGATGCCCACCACACGGCCTTCATGCAGGCTGGCGATTTGAACCAGGGGGACCCTGCGGAAAAGCCCCGGTATCTAGCTCCCTTGCTGGGACCCAAGACCATAGACACTGTCAGCCAGATGGGTGGGGTGGTGGACAGGCTCCCACTCCTGGCCCCGCCTATATGTCTGCATGGAGTCTCTTGGGCTCAGGCCCCTCGGACCCCCAGTGGGAGCGGAAGGTGGTGGTCAATGGGGGGACCTGCCTGGGATGGCGAGACCCTGGGACACAGAGAACTGTTGTCGGGCCCCGGGTGGTGCAGCCGCAGATGCTGAGGGGCTGTGTGACCTGGGGGAAGGTCCCCGGGATGAAGGCCCTCGCCCTGTCTATGGCCTGGATCCCTGTGCAGACCCAGGAGGGGTCGGGCTGGCTGGTCATTGGGGTTCTCCAGGATATCGGCTGTGAGGTCCTGTTGGGGGGTGACTGTGTCTCTTTGGGACAAGATCCAGGCCCTGCCCCTGTAACGGCCGCGGATTTGAATTTGAATCCCGCTAACCAATTGGCTAAGAGGGAAATTGTCAGTGAAAATGCAAATGACCTGGCTGGCAGGAGGGAGGGGCTGCTGGGCTCAGAATACCTGCCTACCTGTAACCAGACCCGTGGGGCTGAGTGGGAGGGAGAGATGCTCCCTGCCCCCCTGCACACCGGAGAGGGGGCTCATGCTGGCTCTGATGCTGTGACCAGAGCAGAGAGCTCGGTGCCTGCCCGCACTGGGACAGTCAGGGCAGCGCTGGGCACGGTGGGAGCTGAGACCCCAGCTGAGTGGGGGGACACCCAGACAGGGCAGGTCGGCTGCCAACCAGGTTTGCCTGGTCCAGGCGTGCTGCTGGGAAGTGATTACACAGCAGGGAGGGAGCTACCAGGGACAGGGCTCAGGGGGGCTGCGACCCCAGGCCCAGCCAGCGAGAGGTAACAGGTCCCACTCCCTTCCCCAGCAGCTGAATTCCAGACCGAGCTGCAGAGGGATCCCTCCTTGAAGAAGCTGAGGGAACTTGCTGGCCACAGCGCTGCAAACCCCCTTGGGGAAGGCTGCAGGGACAGAGTCCTGTGGGAGAAGGGATCCCTGTACCAGGAATGGGCTTCCCAAGGGGAAGTAGAACTGTGGGGAATCGGGAGGCAGCTGGTGGTGCCCCAGGAATCCACAGGGTTCTTCCCTTTCGAGCTGCTGTATGGGAGGAGAAGGGGGAAGACCCCCTGGTGGATCTCTTCCCTGAGGTGGGAGCCAATCTCCCCATCAGGTGTTCCCCCTTCAGAGTCACTGGGAAAGCAGCCCAGAACCTGGAGAGAGAGGTCAAGGACATGCTGGCTTTAGATGTGATCCAGCCGTTCAACAGCCCACGGGCCTCACCTGTGGGGCTGGTCCCCAAGGGAGACAGGATGATCTGGTTTTGTGGGGCCTATCGGAAGCTTAAAGCCATCACCGTGTCCAATGCCTACCCCACGCCTAGGCCTGGGGAGATTCTAGACAAGCTGAAGGAGATGGAGAACGTGGCCCTGGCGTACGTCGATGACATGTGTGTCTTTAGCCAGACCTGGGAGGAACAGGTGTCCCAGGTGAAGAGGGTGCTGGGCTGCCTCAAGGAGGCAGGACTGACGGTAAAAGCTGAGAAGTACAAGGTGGAGATGATCAGAGATTGGCCCATTCCCCAGACCAAGAAACAAGTCCAGGCCTTTATCAGGATGGCGGGGTGCTACCAGAGGTTTGTACCCCGCGTTAGTCCCCTAGCTGCCCCCATCCCTGAGCTATGTGAGAGGGGTAAGCCAGACGAGGTGGTCTGGACCGAGCAGGGCCAGAGGGCGCTCTGTATACTGAAGGAGGCTCTAATCCAGGGCCCAGTAAATCTGGTAAACCCAGACTTTGCCAAGCCTTTTGCAGTGTTCACCAACGCCTCAGACGCAGGGCTGGGCACGGTGCTAATGCAAGCCGATGCTAAGGGCGGGAGACACCCCACCGGGTACCTGAGCAAGAAACTGCTGCCCTGGGAGCAGAACTATGCGGCCTCAGAGAAGAAATGCCTGGCCACGGTGCAGGCCCTTAGAAAGCTGCAGCTGTATTGTTTTGGGCGGCGTCACATGCAAGGGGCTGATGCCGAGCTGCTGGAGACAGAGACACCTGTTCAGAGGGTGGCAAAGGTCAGGATGGGGACTCTTAACCAAGAGAGCTCGAATTGCAGCCCTCCAAACTGGAGCGCTGAGAAAAGACCCAATCTCAGTTTAGACCCCAGGGGTATTGGGGTGGCAAAAGGGTACAGGCCGCATAAACCTTCCCACATGCAAGCGCCATCAAGCACAACATACCCACGGGTGGGCCTGAAACTGGAATGTCCTGGTGTAACTCCCACCAAGGAATGGGAGAGATGATGGGGCATCCATGGGAACGTTGGTGGGTTCGAACTTCCCAAGGTCACTGGCTAAAGTGACCTCGCTCAGTTCGGTCTCGAAGGGGGGAGAGATGTGACGAAGTGGAACTGTTCTTAATGTTTCCTCTGAATACTATGTGGGTGCCTCAGTTTCCCCTATGCATTTCTTAAGTCTCTAGGTGGTGGGGAAAGGCCAGTGTGCATAAATCACTGACACTCTGTCTCCCTGGCAACAAATGGCCAGGGCCCCTTCCCCCCCTGCAAGGAAATAGCTAAAGGTGAACAAAGAGATCAGGTGACCTCCTGGCTCAGGAAAGAGACAAAGCCAAGAGAAGGAGGGGCTGGAGGGGGTTTGGGAGTTGGAGCTACCTGGGGACGGGGAGTGAGGGCAGACGGGGGTGTCTGGCTCTCTGAACCCCATAATGGACCCGGCCGAGGGGTCCCGTTCGCTGCTGTACCTACAAGCTCTGTTTTAGACCGTGTTCCTGTCATCTAATAAACCTCTGTTTTACTGGGTGGCTAAGAGTCACCTCTGACTGCGAAGTTGGGGGTGCAGAACCCTTTGGCTTCCCCAGGACCCCGCTGGGGCGGACTCGCTGTGGGAAGCGCATGGAGGGGCATATGCTGAATGCTCCCAGGAGAGACCCAGGAGGTGAAGCCATGTGAGCTTCTTGCCCTGAAGACAGTCTGCTCCAAGGGAGAGGAGGCTCCCCAAAGTCCTGACTGGCTTTGTGGGGAGCAGTTCCAGAGCATCACCCGGGGACTCCGTGACAGCGCCTTATTATCTATCCCTTTGCTTATGATTCCCAACATTCGGTTCGCTTTTTTGACGGTGCTGCACACAGAGAATCTATGGGACATTTTGATTCACTGACGATTATTCCTTCATTTGATTCAACGCTTTCTTTCACATCTAGCACCACTCCCCCACCAGCACGACCTGTTCTGTCCTTCCGATAGATTTTATCCCCCGGTATTAGTGTGTCCCATTGATTATCCTCATTCCACCATGTTTCTGTGATGCCTGTTATATTGATAGCCTCCTTTAACACGAGGCTCTCCAGGTCACCCATCATGTTATTTAGACTTCTGTCTCCTTTTAGCTGTCTGCCATTACACGCTGTAATTGAACGGGGTTCTTTTTTAGTGGACTGTTTCTGATCAGACACTGCCTGTATTTGATCATTTTCCGTCCTCACTAGGACATAGAGACTCCCCATTAATAGCTCCTCCCCCAAGGGACGTCTCTGTCCGAACCACGGGCTCTTCCGCACCCGTCAGAAGGTTTGAGGCAGGGAGATCCTGCCCTGGTGAGGGGGGGGGCTCCAGATTCCTTGTCCCGCAGCGTGAACCCCAGCCCCCTCTGCTACCCTCCTCCTGGGCCCCACAGCCACCAATGTCCCGCCCTCTGAGGGCCCCCCCGGTCCCTCTGCCCGCACCTGTGAGGGGCCCGACGTTCCAGGCGATGTTGTTACACCAGCCCGTGGCCTGCACCCAGTGCACGGTGCCTGCGTTAATCCACACCAGGTCCCCGGGGCGCTGGATGAACCGGTACACGGGGATGTTCGACTTGTACAGGTCCTCCAGGATGGGCCACCAGGAGCCCGTCAGGTAGTCCACGCCGTGCCTGCCGGAGGGGGCGAGGGGGTGAGACTCGGAAGGGCAGGGGTCACCAGCACAGCCCCATGGCTCCGCCCCCACCACTGTGGCCCCGCCCCTGTGGCCCCTGCACTCAGTGCAGAAGGTGCGGCTGGTTTCCCAGTAATGCCCCGCCCCAGTGACCCTGGCCCTGCCCCCGACGCTCTGGCCCCGCCCCTGACCTGTCACAGAAGGCGCTGATGGTCTCCCAG